AGAGGAAGGCATTGAAAGTCTTAGGGGATTGGAATGTTAGAGTGGATTTGTCATGTAAGACCTATTCACCCATCCTGGGAGAGTCCGGAACACATACCTTTCACCAATACTGTGAGAAGTAAATTTGCAAGGGGAGCTCCAACATCCCTGAAGAGCTCTGTGATTTTTTTTTTCTCTGTAGGCCAGACATCACAGTGGGAACTTTAGTCACTGAATTGAGAAACCTAAATGCAATGGGAATAATTGGATCCTGGGGTGGCTGAGGCCAAGTGGCAGCACTCAACACCAATGGCAAGGTGAGAGTGATTACTGTAATGGATAGCAAAATCAAAGCAGTGATCAAAATGCGCTGACTCATGCAGACCTGTGGAGTTGACTAGTTGATCATAGTCTTCCTAGAAATCAGATAGGAAGCCTACTAAATTCTTACTTGATCTGTATAGGCAGAAAACTTCTAGGTCAAGTGAACTAAAGTCTAACCTGATCTATTAAAACAGAGTCATGGCCCCTTAATCAATTCCTAGACTGAGCCCATTTATAGACACAAAACCCCTTGATTGAAAAGGAGGCTGTGTTCCCTTAAGGAGTGCTGTGTACTGAATGTTTGTGAACCATTCAAATTCATTTGTTGAAGGCTAATCCCCAATGTGATGGTATTTGGAGACGGGGCCATTGGAAGGTAACTAGATTGTGAGTGTGGGACCCTCATGAATGGGATTAGCACTCTTATAAGAAGAGACACAAGAGAATTTGCTTCCTCAGTCTCTGCTCTTCACCTTGTGAGGCTACAAGGAGAACACAGCCATCTGCAGACCTGTTGGAATGCTTCAACAGACACTGGATTTGCCAGTGCCTTGGTCTTGGGCTTCCTAGCCTCTAGAACTGTGGGAAATAAATGTTTGCTGTGTAAGCCCCCAAGTCAACGGTATTCTTGTTATAGCAGCCCAAACTGACTAAGACAAGGAAGGACCCCAGTATACTACTAAAAATTTATACTCAATCTTTCTCCCAGCCCTCCCCAAAGGGACCTATGACCTCTTACCAGGGTAGCTGTGCACTGGGGAAAAGGAAATAATCAGACCTTTCAGGAACTACTGGATGCGGGCTCTGAACTGACATTAATTCCAGGAGACCCGAAACGCCACTATGGCCCCAGTCCGAATAGAGGCTTATGGAGGTCAGGTGATCAATGAAGTTTTAGCTCAGATTTTTCCCACAGTGAGTCCAGTGGGTCCCTGAATCCATCCTGTGGTCATTTCCCAGTTCCAGAATGCAAAATTGGGATAGATATACTCAGCAGCTAGCGGAATTCCACGTTGGTTCCCTGACCTGTGGAGTGAGAGTTATCATGGTGGGAGAGGCCAAGTGGAAGCCACTAGAACTGCCTCTATCTAGGAAAAGAGCAAACCAAAAACAATACTGCATTCCTGGGGGTTGTCGACGAAAATAATCCATAACCAATCTATAAATGAAAATTTGGGTGAGTTTATTCTGAGCTGAAATCTGAGGACCATGGCCCGGGGCCTTTCTTCCTGAAGGAAGAAAGAGCACCAAAGAAGTGAGGTATACAGAGTGGTTATATACCCCCAAACAGGACGTTTCACATATGATTGAAATGCCCCTCCCACAATAGTCACAAGATTGCCCTGTCAGCACAGCGCTTGATGGACACAGTGGGGAGTGGGTCTGCTATCTCAGAGGGCGTAGCAGGAGGCAAGTCTATTGTCTCGAACTGGGCAGTCACACGTGAGTGCAGCAATCAGTTTCTAGCCTAAGGAAAGATGCTTAATCCTTAAGGAGATGCCAACGTTGGGAGGGGGAGGGAAGTTGCACCTTTATCTCAAGGGTCTTTGTTCTTGCCATAGTGAATATTTAAAGCAGATATACAATGCAAGCTCAACAGCCACGGTCAGGCCCTTTTGGAAAGACAAGGTCAGACCGAATTAGGTTTATACCAAATGGCTTCCTCATATTCTCCAATATATCCTATTGCTTGCCATTTTTATTTGTCAGGGTATTGCTTAGATTGGTGCCACCATCAAGGACTTGAAGCATGCAAAGATGGCGATTCCTACCACTTCCCCACTCAACTTGCCAATTTGACCTGTGCAGGGGGCAGATGGATCTTGGAGAGTGACAGTGGATTATCATAAGCTTAATGAGGTGACTCCGGTTGTAGCTGCTGTACCAGATTTGCTTTCATTGCTTGAGCAAATTAACATATTCCCTGGTACCTGGTATGCAGCTACTGATCTGGCAAGTGCCTTTTTCTCCATCCTCATACATGTGGTCAACCAAAAGCAGTTTGCTTTCAACTGGCAAGGCCAACAATACGCATCTTCACGGTCCTACCTCAGGAGTTTATCAACTCTGCAGCCCTATGTCATAATTTAGTTTGCAGGGATCTTGACCACCTTTCCTTTCCACAAGATATCACACTAGCCCGTTACATTGGTGACTTTATGGTCATTGGACCTATCGAGCAAGAAATAGCAACTACTCTACACTTGTTGGTAAGACATTTGCATGCCAGAGGGTGGGAAAGAAATCCAACAAAAATTCAAGGGCCTTCTATCTCAGTGAAATGTTTGGAGTCCAGTGTCCAGTGGTGTGGAGCGTGTTGAGATATTCCTTCTAAGATGAAGGATAAGTTGTTGCATCTGGCTCCTCTTACCACCAAAAAAGAGGTACAGTGCCTCGTGGGCCTCTTTGGATTTCAGGGGCAACATATTCATCATTTAGATATGTTACTCTGGCCCATTTACTGAGTGATCTGAAAATCTGCTAGGTTTAAGTAGGCCCAGAACAGAAGACTCTGAAACAGGTCCAGGATGCTATGCAAGCTGCTCTGTCGCCATAATCCAGCACATCCAAAGGTGCTTCAAGTGTCAGTGGCGGATAGGGTTGCTGTTTGAAGCCTTTGGCAGGCCCCAATAGGTGAATCACAGTATAGGCTCTTAGGATTTTGGAGAAAAGCCCTGCCATCTTCTGCAGATAATTACTCTCATTTTGAGAAACAGCTGTTGGCTTGCTGCTGGACCTTAGAAGAGATTGAGGACTTACCCACAGGCCACCAAGATACCATGCAACCTGAGCTGCCCATCATGAACTGGGTGTTGTCTGACCCACCAAGCCATAAAGCGGGACATGCACGCACAGCAGCACTCCGTCATCAAATGGAAGCGGTATATATCTGATCAGGCCTGAGCAGGCCCTGAAGGCACAAGTAAGTTACATGAAGAAGTGGCCCAAATGTCCATGGTCTCCACTCCTACAACAGTACCTTCTCTCTGCCAGACTGTACCTATGACCTCATGGAGAATTCTCTATCATCTGTTGACAGAGGAAGAGGAGACTCAGCCCTAGTTTACAGATGATTCTGAATGATATGCAGAACTACCCCAAACTGGGCAGCTGAGGAACTACAGTCCCTTTCTGGGACATTCCTGAAGGAAAGTGATGAAGGGAAATCCTCTCAGTGGGCAGAACTTCAACTAGCACCTAGTTGTTCACTTTGCTTAGTGCTTGTTGAAGGCAAGGGGAATATGGAATGGGTAGTGGAAGAAGGTAGTTATAAACACCAGCCGCAACCACGTGATCAGTCATAGAAACGAGGACTGTTATTACAATGAGTATTTCCTCCTTAGTTTGTTGTGAATACATTTGCGTGTGTGTGTGTATCAAATATCTTTGTTTTCTTCCTCCCTTATTCGCTTATCATGTAAAATAATATATCTTGACTTTCTATCATGGTATTTATGTTTTGTTAATTTTACATCATAGATTTAAATTACAGGATATCAAGGAGAAGAGTCAACATTAGTCAAAGACTTTACCTCCTCTTCTGGGGAAGAGGTTAGAGCATTTTCAGTTGTATGCAGAATAGTTGTATCATGTTAGGTGGAATTATGGCCTTGTTATCATCTTTACTTGGAGATTAAGTATGGTTTAAGGAGATGTGTATGCTGCCAAGTTGACAAGGGGTGGACTTGTGACAGTTAACTTTATAAATCAACTTGACTGGATCATAGGATGCCCAGATATCTGGTTAAAGATTACTTCTGGGTATGTCTGTGAGGGTGTATCTGAAAGAATTTAGCATTTGAATTGGTTGACCCCATGAAGTAGATGGCCCTCCCCAATATGGGTGGTCATTGTCCAATCCTTTCAGGGCCTCAATGGAATAACAGGTGGAGGAATTCAATCTTTGCCCAAGTGCTGGAGCTGGGGTGTGGATCATCTCCTGCCTTCAGCTCCGGGTTCTCATGCCTTCAGACTTGGACTGGAATCAGATCTTCAGACTTGAACTGGCTCTCTGACCTTCAGGGCTTTGAACTATACCACTGGCTTTCCTGTCTCCAGCTTGCCGAGAGCAGATCTTGAGACTTCTCAGCCTCCATAATCGTGTGAGCCAATACCTTATAATAAATCTCTTTCTCTCTCTCTGTCTCTCTGTCTCTCTCTTCTATTGATTCTGTTTCTTTGGAGAACTCTGACTAATACAATGTCCTAGGACAGTCTTCCCTGACTATTTTGTCTAAAGTAGCACCCACTCTTGATATCACCACTCTCTGTCACATAACCTTATTCCCATGAACTCAGGCAAAATTATTAAGCCTCTTTATGCCTCATTTTTATCATTTGTTAAATAGAAATAACTGTAATACTTCCCTCATAAGGTTGTGAAGATCAAATGAGTTAACATGTCAAGCATTTTGAACATTGCCTGGATCATAATTAGCACTATATAAGTTTAGCTGCTAGTATTATTATTATTGTTATTATTATCATTGACGTATTCAAAGTACTTATCACTGCCTAAAAGTGTTTTGTGCGTTTACTTTTTTCTGGGTTTATTTTCTGTCTCCTCCACTGGAGAGCAGTAACCTTGAATGACTTATGCATTGCTGTGTTCCATCACTTAGAATAGTGCCTGTCACACAGTAAGTACCTAAATATTTTTTGAATGAATGTGTGTATAAATGAATAAACACAAGAACTGGGGATGACACCATTCTGAGACTTGGTTTATTTTAAGAAAAAAATTATCACAGAGGCTTGTAATCAGCATGTAAAGGCACAGCGTTTTGCGTAGGCAGTGGAATTCCTTTACTCCTGCTATATATCGTCAGGGGCTTTTATGAATTCTGGGTACCACTCCTTCCTCAGTTCCAAGTAGCTGATCCCCAGTGGTCTCCATCATCAGTGATACCGTGGTTAAACTCAGCTTCAATAGTAAATTCTAGGTTGTGAGAAGTAGTAGCTTGCATCCACAGTGATGAATGAACCCAGACATAGAACTATGAGCTTGGGATTCCTGAAGCAGCCTCATGCTTGGGAATCCACTACCTCAGAACACCTTTGTTCTCCTTAAAGAAGAGGATCCGCAATGGTGACCTTCACTGGAAGAACTTGGAGTGGCCTCAGGAAGACTTCCAACCTTGCTTTTTCCGTGGTTGTAGTTAGAGCAGTTACATCATCTATAGTAAAACCTTATCTTGAGCTCACCTATCTTGAACCTGAGCAGTTGCTCAAGAAGGTGCTTTCAAAAGACCCATTTCCATATTTTTCATTTTTCATTTAGATCCCTGACATGTCAAAAGATGGTAGAGTTCTTGAAGATTCTCTGCAACTCACCATCCATTGATCTGGAAAACCAAGCTTCTTCACTCTGCTGTGAGCTTTTTGAGGACAGACTGCATGTCTTCCTGGCAATTGCATATTGAGTACCTAGCACAGGCCCAGCACTGAACAATAACCTACAGATGAAAGATAGAATTCCCATGTTCAGGACAATATCAAATTAGAGTGTGGCACCTGAAATCCTGGAAAGCAGGGCCTTGGGGAAGCTCTGGGGAGTTCTAGGGGTTATAAATTCTGAATAATCTCCTCTCCTCCTCCGCCAATTCCTGTTAAGGAAGCACTGAGCAGAAAGAGGACAGGCGTTGCAATCAGACAGACCTGGCCTCAGGTCCTGACACAAGTTAAATAACTAGTTAAATGACCTTGAGGAAACTACTTAACCTCTCTGAGTTTTCTAATCTGTAAAACAAGAATAAAAATGGTACTTATGAGGATTAACTGAGATAAAGTATGTGAACGTTTTAGCCCAGAACAGATACCTACTTTGCATTCAATTACTGGGAGCTGTTGACCTGAATCTTGTGGAGTGCTTTTTGCTTGTGTATTATCAGCAAGCAGGTTAAGGGGCAGAGGTATATCTAGAACACAGTAGAATTGGGTCCAATAACACAGAGCCATAGCAGATCCTGGGCCAGAATTGTGTTAGGAAGAAGTAGGGTTTGGGCCTAGAGGTTGGGGCACTGTGATGGTAGGTGTGTTGTCAGGAAGTTGGGCATGACAGCATAATAACAGAGAAAACGATCTGTGGAACCCAGGAGTAGATTAATTTTCATAAATGGGAAATTTTATTGGGAGTGATATCTGGATCTCTATCACACTACTGGAGAATCTCTATTCTTTACTGAATATCTACTTTTTAGAGAAAAAAAGCAAAACCATGTTCTATGAGCATTGAATTGGAAGAAGCTGGCAGTTGGCTGATTTTAAACTGACTAGTGTATTCTTCGTCCAGAGCAAGGCCATTGGGGATCATCTGTTTCTTCTTATACTGAGTAAATCAGATAATAGAGAGTAAATCATGAGCTAAAGTTACTGGTCCAGACTGATCATGGAAAGTTGAATCGGGGGGACACAGAATAGAGCTAACATTAGTGACTATGTACTACACATGAAGCCTACTCTGTGAAGCTTTTTATGTGTACCATCACTTTGAATCACAGCAACCTATAAGATGAGCCCTTATGGTTAGCCCATTTAACAGGGCAGGTGGGTGGCTTGTTTGTGGTGAGAGAGCTGGGAGGTAGGGAATCCAAGTTTTGCATCCAGGCTCTCTGAGACCAAAGCTCCTTTGCTTAACCCTTCAGGTGGAGTGCCCAAAGGGCTCAGAGAAGATGATGAAGATAGAGAAAGGATTGGGAAGGAAAGGTACAAATAACTTTGATGGTAAGGAATCTTAGGATGGAAGTAAGACACAGCAAAGAATAAAAAGAAGAAGAAAGCATCTATAATGGAATAAGGGAATTAATGTTTATCGATCACTTTGTATGACTCAGGTGCACATATATAATCTTTCATCACACAAGAACCCCTTGAAATAGACATGATTTCCATTTACGCAGATGAGGGGATCGAAGTGCAGAGAAGTCACCGTTAATCACTTGGTTTGTAAATACCAGAGCCAGGATTAGAACCGCTGTCTGTAGCATTAGAAAGCCCACAGTATTTCCATTCGAACAGCTGCCTTGGGAAAGGAAGTGCAAAGACTGGGTGTGAGAGAGCAGAAATGGCATCTCCTTCGAATGGTGGGGTAGATATGCAAATAAAGCATGACTAGAAAGACAAAAAAAGGAAATGAGAAAGGGAGGACCACAGGGTGATAATCAGGCTCACACCACCTGTTTTTCTTTTGGCCAAAGCTGTCTCTCTTCATGGCTCTGAGTGAAAAAACAAAGCAACCGAGCGGCTCAGAAAGGCCAAGAGACACTCTTCCCTCAGTCGTCACATGGAGTGTTCAGTGATGTTGAAACCTGTGATTTCAAGAAATCCTAAACTGTGACAAGAAAGAGATTCCAGACAATTGACATACTGCTGGCTGCAACAGATGTTGCATAGAAAACAATAATTTTAAAAAGGGATAAAGATAGAGAGGAGCTCAGGAAGACACACTCTGTAAAGGTGGTTGGCAGGAAGTAGGGTTACTATATAGGATGGAGACAGACATAGCTGAGTATGAAAAACAACCCTGTGAAGCTGGTAAGGGAGGTTTTATGGTCAGCACTTTGCATATAAGGAAACTGTGGCCCTCAGAGTTTGGAGGACTTGCCTCTGGTGCCTGAGTGTTAGAATGTAGGTGTCTGACTCTAAATCTAGTGTACTTAATACTGTACCATTTTTCCTTTAAAGAAATACATATCTAGTGGTGAATTTGGGGTATTGGATAGTGGGGGAAATATTTTTGAGCAGGGCTCTTTACCTTGTGCTATACAGGTAGCTCTTTTTAAACATTCTTTAGTTTTTAATAAAAACAACCCTACTTTTCAGATGAAAACGACATCTAGCTCAGTCTCGTTAGTGCTGTTTTTGGTTGTGTTTTCCAGGTGCAGATTCATATAGAACCTTCGCCTTGTATTGGCTAATCATTAACAAAGGTGGATGCTGACTTCACAAAGTGATTCCGGATTTTACTGCAAGTCCTTTTGTTTGCAGCTGTCCAGGATGCAATGATCCTCTGGAAAGCAATTCTTTGATGGCCAACTCAATATCATTCATAGAAATGAGCTGACTGCTAGGAAATACATTCTCACTCCCAGACCCTGGGGTCTTTGTTTCACACTTAGTAAAATGTAGTGAATTGACTTTAGCCCATTCAGAACAGATCAACTCATTTTGGCCCACAAAAATTCACATTGGACATACTCACAATGATCCATGCCATACTGACACTGTCGAGTTGTTCAGATTACTAATTTTGCTTCTCCTTTAAGGAAATCTGGGAGAATGCCCCTCCACCCCCACCCCCTGGATTTCTATACTAGGGTGAATAGAAGACACTAGAAATCATGGTCAAGGTGACTTTGAAGTTCACTGTTGAATGTCTCTGGGCACTTCATGGCTATATTCTACACTGCTGCTTCACTCCATTAGGATAAAATAAATACACCCCAATTATTTATTTGATTAAGCAGCTCTGTAGCAGCATAGCACCCCCAAATCATGGGACAAAAATCAATACTTTGACTACTATCTAGGCTCTTCATGAAGAATGCAGGTATTTCCTGAGTCCAGATGGACAATGTGCTTATTCCTCCTTTTGACACATTTTGTTCAGGATTCAAAATATTTTACAAGAAATGTCTCATGAATTTCATTATCTACCCTCTGATCTGGATGGACAGTTACTACTTCTTTGCTTAAAATTTCAAATCCAGGGCAACCAGAAATGGAGAAAAGGTTTTGTTTTAGAAGGTAGAAAACGTGTTTGTTTTAATATAACAAAAGACACAAGTAGGATATTGATTAGTGTAGCTTGATGTGGGAGAAGATCTCTAGAATCTTAAGTGCTAACCCTTTGTCATCAATCAGCTCTTCCCTACCTTGCTGTGTTTTCTTCCTTCCTTCCTGCCTTCCTTCCTTCCTGCCTTCCTTCCTCCCTCCCTTCCTCCCTCCCTTCCTTCTTTCCATCCTTCCTTTGTTTTTTTCTTTCTTTCCCCTCTCTCCCACTTCCTCTCTCCCTATCTTCCTTCTTTTCTTTTTAATTCATCTGCATTTGTACGTCCTTACCTACTTTCTGCTCTGGGCCTTCTCTTCCTCAGAACATAGCCATGTATGAGCGCACCACAACCAGGTTCTGTAAACAGACGTATAACTTTCCTGGCCACATCGGACATCCCCAGACAACAAACTGGTCAGGATAGAGAAGGTTCGACAGCTAGTCATGGCACCTTCACGCTCTGAGTGCCTGGGGCTTCTTACCATCTGCATCACAGGATCTGCAGGAAGTCCTTCTGACCATTCTTATTGACTCCAAGAGGCCCTGGCAATTCTTTTTACAACCAGAAGAGGCAGATAAAGTCCTGGCTGAGGGACGCTGGCTGGAGGGTCACTACACAAACAGAGCTGAGGAACCCCAGCAGGCAGAGCTGCTTCCACAGCAGACCACTAGGATCCTGTTTAGTTTTTACGTCTAGGACTCTGATTTGCCTACTGCCACTCTAGTGGCCCCTTTACAGCCAGGTGTTGTGAGTCCTGGTTGAATGCTGTTGAAAGATTGACCTCATATCATGGGCATGACATTAACTTCCCACTCCTGCCAGTGTCGTCCATAGTGTGGTCAAGCTCACAGGCACAGGGGAAGATATCTAGGATCAGGATATCTTCCATTTCCACTCATAAGACCAAGGAGAGCCTATCAGAAACTAGGTTGGGCCATACTCTCCTTTGCTCTATTGCCTTTAATTAAGATTCCTTATGGGCCCAGCAGCCATGTCACTAGCTCTAGGGCCAGGAAAGGCAATGCTACCCCGTGGCCGGAGGCTGGTTGCACTCAGCCCTGGTCATACTGGATAGGGAAGGGAGGTGGTGCTAGCTGGAATGCAGAACCAGTTCGTGGGGTGTAACAGACACATGGACAGAGGACAATGGGGCTGACCCTGCAATAACCCTGCTGGGACGTGCCCTGGGTTTGGGGAAGGGTCTTGTAGGGCAGCACAGAGGCCCCAAGTCTACTTATCTATCCAAAGAACTAATTGAGCCATTCAGACAGGAGTTTTGCTAATACCTTAGAAACGATGGGTAATAAAAAGGAAACAGGGATGGGCTGGACAGAGGCCTAGGCAACATGATCAGGCTAGAGATTGGCCACTAGAAGAACATCAGGGGGACAGTAGTGTTCCAGGGGTCTGGAAAGATGGGTGTGTGCACTCCGGCAGGGATCCCATGGGGCCGGTAGAGCAGTGCAAGGCGTAATACCCAGGTGAGCCACATTTGCTTCTGTCTTTCTAGATGATTCCAGGAACTGTTCCAGGGTGATTCAGGCTTCAAGGAGCAGGGTCCATTCTGTACCCATTCATGAAGATAGTCATGTCTACAAACACAAGAAGGGCTGATACCCAGGGATAGATACAGTCATTGAGTATTCCTGTCCAGAGGACAAAATTCCAGATGGAGGCAGAATTTACAAAGAGACAGATGTTGGCTGAATGAGAAAAACTCATTTTCTAACCTTCCAGCAGCAACAAGTGCTCCCTGAGTGATATTCTCAGCGCCCAGCACAGTGCCTGGGATACTGTACCCATTCATTGACTGGATGGCCCTTGCTCAGGATCCCTTACTACAGAAGGGCTCCCCTCTGAAAGAGTCTGGGAGATGAAGGGATTGACCATGACCTCTGTGCCCTGATGAGCCTTTGTAGATGATTCTGCAGATCTGAGTGACCTTCTTCCCTACAGCACTATCGGCCACTGACACCAAGACCAGGAAATCTCAGCACAGAGGCTTGCGGGTACAGAAGGGGTGGGAGGCTGAAACTAGATCTGCCCCCGATGGAGCGGGCACTGTGGTGGACTGCAGAGGAAGGTGGAATTCCATTTTGAAAGCGAGAACCCAATAGCATCGTGTATGTCTCGGACAGTCCATGCCATTCAATATTTGATCGAGATCAAGATAAAGAAAACCGAATAATTCCCTTGTGTACAAAGGGACACTTCTTTTATATTCCTCACTTACGCTTGTCCCCTAAATGGTCTTCTACTTTCAAATGAGCTTCCAATTTATTTTTTAAGGCAATTTACTTTGTTTGCAGACAAACAGAGTAATCACTGCAGTCTAAACCCACAAATAACATCAGTGTGTTACGTTGTAAGAGAAATTACTCTGCTGTTCTCCAATAATAGCCAGAGGAAACTCATCTCTACCTCAAATGCTGTCAGTCATTTTGAGAAATTATGCAGCAACATTCAACGTAAACAAGGCAAACACACAGTGGTTGATTTTGTTTCCTTGATGAAAAAAGGAATGTGTGACTCTTTCCTGTATGGGTACAACCTGTCTATGGCAGCTCTTGGACCATTTTTCTTCCTTGTTTATAACCTGCTATCACCCTAACTTATTACCTCTACTGCCACCACCTCAGTCGGAGCCACTATCGTCTCTCGTCTCACGGCAAGAGCCTCTTGAAGGGCTCTCTGCTTCTGCTCTTTCCTTCTTCAGCCGGTTCTCAACACAGCAGTCTGAGTGAGCATTTTAAGATGAAAGTCATATCCTGTCACTCCTCCGCTTGAAACCTTGCCGTGGCTACTGTTTCACTCACAGTAAAATTGAAAGTATTGACCAAGGTCTACACAGCCCTTCATGATCTGTTTCCACCCCTCTTACCTCCAACCTCCTCCCCCGTTTCTCTTCCCGCACTCCCTTCCAGCCACGTGGCCTCCATGCTGTTCCTCCAACCCCCACAGGGGCCTTGTGCCTTAGGGCCTTTGCTTCAGCTCTTCCCTCAGCCTGGAGCAGTCATCCCCAGTGACAGCCGCTGGCCTCCCTCCCTCCCCCCATCCTGCAAGTCTTTACTCAAATACTTGTTCTCAGTGAGGCCTGCCCTGGCTGGACCACTCTCATTCTGCATCTCAGCCCCCACCCCTGCACTCATGATCCCTTTTAATCCACTCTACCTTTTTCTTTCTTTCTCATCACTCATCACATCTTAACATACTTTATGATTTACTTATTTGCTACCTTTATTATTTCCTGTTAGTGACCCTCTAATAGCATGTAAACTACACATGTTCGAGTGCCTAGAACAGGATCTGGCATGTAGTTGGCACCCAGTACACACTGCTGAATGAATGAGTGAACAAATGAATGTTTTCGGTACGTATTATGTTATCCAAACCTTTGCCAGCCTTCTGTGTAACATATCACAGGCCAGTCCTTAGGGTCGTCACCTCCTTTGTTCTTTGGGCACCTGTTGCTATCTCATTTGATCATCTCATATGCAAGCAATATCAAAAGCTCCTTTTTTTTTTTTTAACTTGGGAAAAATCATTTCCGTATTCCTCCATGTAGTTGTGCTTTCTTTTTATAATTCTTCCAGTTCCATGGGGCTTCAAGAGAGACTCTCAGCCAGGTCCTGCTTTTAGGCAAGTGAAATCCCAAAGTTTCCCATGTGTTTGCTATTCTCATCCTCAGTTGACTGCTGCAGCCGAGTTCCTCCTGCTGCTAACTTGTGGCTCTCTTGCTTTAAGTTAAGCCCTGAGTTTCTTATTTATCCTCTCTAGACATGGATAACTAGTAATCATATATCTCTTTCCCAAAAGCCCTTCATGCAGATGAACACAGTTAACCCTCCACATTCTGGTCTGTAATGAAATAGCCCCAATATCATTCATCTTTCTCCAGGGGACTTTTTTTTTTCCTGAAATAATGTTATTTTAACAAATATATTTCAAATATATATTTCAAGTATATGCAACAATTTACTCAATGCAACAGTTCACTAAAGCTCAAGCTTAAAGTCGTGAGCAAGGATTGCCTTATGAGGAAACCACTATATAACTTGGTTTAAAAGAATTTTGTTTGGTTTAAACAGTAAAATCTTCATGGAACAAGGAGAAATCCCATTAGGATACAACTTCAAAATGATCTTAAAGCTTGGGAAGGTGAGTTAGTATGTTATCTGGCAAAAAATGACAGGGGCCAGCCCCTTGGCCAAGTGGTTAAGTTCGCACGCTCCGCTTCGGCAGCCCAGGGTTTCACGGGTTTGGATCCCAGGTGCAGACATGGCACCATTCATCAGGCCATGCTGAGGTGGCATCCCACATAGCACAACCAGAGACACTCACAACTAGAATATATAATTATGTACTGGGGGGCTTTGGGGAGGAGAAGAAGAAGAAGAAGAAGAAGAAAAGAAGATTGTCAACAGATGTTAGCTCGTGTGCCACTCTTTAAAAAAAAAAAATTACGAAGAGTAACTCCCAAATGACATTGATAAGTGGGTAGGAGGAAGTTTAAGTAGAGAAGACAGGAGAGGTTAGAAGAAGAGAAGTAGGCAAATCAAATACTGTACACTTCAGCGTGTGTGTGTGTGTGTGTGTGTGTGTCTATGTGAGAGAGAGAGAAAGTCTGTTAATCAAGAGAACAAGAAAGCACAAGACCTGGGATTTTGGGAACTTAGAATATAAATATGGCAATAGCATCACAGCGTGAGAAACTGAAAGCAGTCTTTTCTTGAGAGGGGGCAGGTTTAGACCTGAATGGACTGAGAGTGAAGTGCAGGGAGGGGAGAGGGACACAGTGTTGTTCCTGAGAAGGCACTTAATACCTTCTCTGTGATAAATTGTAATCAACTGTTAAGGTAATCTGAAATGACTCCCAACCCCTCAGCCAGAGTAGGTAGGAATGGGTGAATTCTGAACACAAGAATGAGTAAAAATTTTCTATTCATAGTGATAAAGCTTGAATATAAGTGGGAACTTCTGTTACTCAGATTTATATTTCTTTAAATATGGATATAGGTTATATATCATATATCATGTCTTACAACATTAATAATTCATTAACATTGTGCCTAACATCCAACAAAAAATATAATTGAGGGGCCAGCCCAGTCGCGTAGCAGTTAAATTTGTGCACTGTGCTTTGGTTGCATGGGGTTTGCGAGTTCAGATCCTAGGTGTGGACCAATCACCCCTCATCAAGCTATGTTGTGGTTGTGTCCCACATAAAAATAGAGGAAGATTGGCATAAATGTTAGCTCAGCAACAATCTTACTCAAGCAAGAAGAAGAAGACTGGCAACAGATGTTAACTCAGGGCCAATCTTCCTCACACACACACACAAAATATACATATATATATATTTATGTTTGTATATATATAATTGAATTCTGGTGTGCTAAGTACTAGGGCCACCAGAGTGAACAAAAACTGTCCCTGCTTTCAAGAAGCTTAGAGAACAGAGAAATATTCAAATCATAGTATGTATCATTTGAGCAGTTGGTTTAATAAAAGTTATATTTTTAAAGAAATAGAAAAACAGAAGTGGATGACTTGCACATGAATGTAATTAGTCTTAATTCTCAGGTCTGTACAAAGCCCAGTATACAGATGACTCAATTGAAAGTCGTAGCAGCACCACATACCAATGTTAGACACCTAAACTGCACACAGAGTGACTGAAGAGAATTGATCACCTTCTAGAGTGATGTTTCTCAAAGCATGGTCCAGAGACCAATTTGCATATGAATCATGGTGCAAGCTTGTTTAAAATACAGATTCTTGGGGCCGGCCCGGTGGCACAGTGGTTAAGTTGGCATGTTCCACTTCAGCGGCCCAGGGTTCGCAGGTTCAGATCCCGGGTGCGGACATGGCACCGCTTGTCAAGCCATGCTGTGGCAGGCATCCCACATATAAAGTAGAGGAAGATGGGCATGGATGTTAGCTCAGGGCCAGTCTTCCTCAGTGAAAAAAGGAAGATTAATTAGCAGCAGTTAGCTCAGGGCTAATCTTCCTCAAAAAAAAAAAAAAAAATACAGATTCTTAGGATCCTTCTCCAGGACCTATTATATTATATTTGCAGTGTTAGTTATGGAGTCTCATTTTAAAGACTCTCCAGGTGGTTCTTAGGCACTATTTCGGAATTATGCTTTTTTGAGTTTAGCATAGAAGCATTTTTGCACATGTGAACCTATGACATGATGGCAAACATCAAAATAGCCTAACTTTATATTGGCTTATCTCCAGTGACACTCTATTATTAATTTAATTCAGTTCATTGTCAAATATGAGCCCAAGTTCTTCCTTATTGTCTTGAGGCCTAACTGCTCCATCCCAATATTGCATCTGTATTCTTGGTTGACTTTTCTTTTCCCTCTAGATATATCCTTGTATATATTTCCCTATTAAATTTCATCCTATTAAATGTTCCTCTTAAATCTCATCAGTTTTGACCATTAAAAAATCTAGTCAAGGGGCCAGCCCAGTAGCACAGCAGTTAAGTGCACACGTTCCACTTTGGCAGCCTGGGGTTCGCTGGTTTGGATCCCAGATGCAGACATGACACCGCTTGTCAAGCCATGCTGTGGCAGGCATCCCACATATAAAGTAGAGGAAGATGGGCATGGATGTTAGCTCAGGGCCAGTCTTCCTCAGTGAAAAGAGGAGGATTGGCAGCAGTTAGCTCAGGGCTAATCTTCCAAAAAAAAGGAAAAAAAATCTGGTCAAAGCTATTTTGATTTACCTCTTTTCTCTGCAGTATTTATTAACAGCCAGGTGATTTAGAACCAGTAACATATTTACTAAGCCAACGTTTGATTTCTTCTTTCATTTGTAAAGATAAAGACAAGCAAACCCCTCCTTACTTTCCTCCCCAGACTGATTTCTGCGGAATACCACTTTACCCATTAGCGACCCTCGGCCATGAGTAACTTTGGCCTTAGTTTCTATGACATTCTCGTAAAGAGAAATGATTATTTTCTTCATATGTAGTTTATTGCCTGGTTTATACAAACATCCCATGAAAAAATATTTAGAGCCTGGGGGTGAGTATAAAGAAGAGTTCTTAAATGAGTATTTTTATTTGAAAGAGTCTTAACTTCTAGTTGGAATAAGAACAGGACGTGTACCTTCTTCATATCTTAAATTAAGAAACAATTTAGAAAAGCTCTGGCAGATAAGGTAAACCACCACAAATCTGGGGCCCCAGATTCCATCTATCGATCTCTGGGAAAAGGATGTCCTCTTTGTAAAGAGTTTACTGCCCTTCTTGGTCTGACCAAGTCCTCTGGCCTTCAGAACATCTTGTACATCTGGTCCTTCTAGATTTTGAGACTAGTAACTGTTAAGCTGATATTTTAATGCACCGTGTTTTAACTGCCACTGCTTTGTTATATGTGTCCTAATTGAATATTTTCAATTTTGTACTTATGGCCTGAAGCAATCTAATCATCCAAGATACAATTTAACAAATTGAAAAAAATTTTAAATGTGCAGTAATGAATGGGACTAATTGCCATTGTGCATCACACAGTGGAATGCAACCAGCAGATGCTTAATAAATATTAATTTACGATCATGACAGTTAGCCCTAGGGGCAGGGAACATGGTTTTCCCTTTTTCTGAGTCACCATCCAATCAGAGAAAAGACACTTTTATACTTCAGTTTCACAGTCCACAAAAGGAAATAGTTCTTGTTCATCATTATCAACCCAGAATAGAGAAAGAAATGCAGAGGGATTAGCTTAATAATTGTCTGTGTGTTTGACAGTGGCAGCTGGCCAGGTGTTCCCAGGCTCAACTGAAAAATTAGAATGAAATATTGTTTGAATTGGGAAGATTAAGGTTAGATAATGAAATCTTGGAGTGCCCGTTCTGGACACCTTTTTGGGTGTGTGTGTGAGCAAGATTGGCCCTGAGCTAACATCTGCTGTGAATCTTCCTCTTTTCGCTTAAGGAAGATCATTGCTGAGCTAAGATCTATGCCAGTCTTCCTCTATTTTATGTCGGATGCTGCCACAGAGAAACTTGACGAATGGTGCTGTGTCCGCGCCTGGGATCTGAACCTGTGAAGCCTCGGCTGCCAAAGCAGAGTATGTGAACTTATTCACTACGCCACTGGGCTGGCCCCCTGGATACCTTTTAATCTGGAGCTTTTCTTGCTTCAGATGGCCATGGCAGAAAGTTGGACCAGATGACCTGTCATATGGTCTTGTCATCCTAAGTTGATTTTAAGAAAATTGTTACTGGCCAGAGGTAATAAACTGCAAGGGTAGTTCTTTTGCATAGTCTTTTAATAATTATGTGGTCCAGGATGAAAACACTGGCTATTTAAGTGCCTGAACTCAGAGATTTAAGAACCAAGAAATATGGTTGAAGGTAACCATCAAAATTCCCAGCAAGGACCTGGCTGATTGTGTATCCTTTGACCCAATGATCCCTAGACTCTAGAGCAAACTGTAGGCCAACTGGCCATATCTAATCTGCTGCCTATTTTTGTACAGCTTGTGGGCTAAGAATGATTTTTACATTTTTTATATGACTGAAACAAAATCAAAAAAGAATAACACACCATGACCCATTAAAAACTAAATACACTCAAGTTTCCTTGCACATATATCAAGTTTTATTTGAACATAGACATGCTCATTCCTTTGTGTATTGTTTATGGCTGCTTTTATACTATATCAGCAGAACCAAGTAGCTGAGACAGAGACCATACGGCCTGCTCAGCCAAAAATATTTAGTATCTGGCCCTTTAGAGAAGAAGTTTGCCTACCCCTAATCTAAAGAATCTATCCAAAAGAAGTAGTCCACAAAATGTGGAAGAAGCTTGTTATCGCAGTGTTATCTATAATAGAAAAACTGGAAACAGGATGTAAATGTTCCCCAAATATATAGATATTATTAAGTAAATTGTGGCATATCCACTCAACACAACTTTTCAAAACCATTTAAAATGAAGTCAACAACCATCTACCAATATTGAAAACTAAAATGGCTGTTAAAGTGGAAAAAAATACCAGAGCACAAACTCGTATGACTGTTTGATTATAGCCTTTAATGAGTCAATTAGTTCAGTTAGCCAACAAATATTTACCAGAGGATAGAATATTATTGAGGTTTATACCATACGCATGAGAGAAAAAATAACCTAGAAAGCATTTATAGTGTTTGGGTAAAAGTGATAAATTTTGCCTATTTTTTTTCTCATCTCTATTTTTATTTTTTTCTGTATGATGTGTATGT